GTAGCTCGCAGGGTCATAGAGGCACGCAAGCCATCACACCACGTCAAGGTGCAGTCACGTCGTGATCATCCATTGCAAGCAGAACTGACACGATGTCCTTCCCATCATTCACCACGTTCCCTATTCCGTCAAATTTCATCTTAAGTTAACGCTCACCGCAATTTAACTATACCGTATCTTGCTCGTGTACTTATAAACAAAGAGCCGACAATAAGTGAACTTTGTCTTAACCTTGGGTTATGAAATATCTTTATAAGTTTTTTTTTCATTGTTTGTTATGTACATTGTGACGGTTAGCATGTGTGATTTTATAACTGAAATGTGAGCTCCAGTGCTTGCATTAGTCATACACAATACAAAACAATACAATTACTTTGCACGAACCTTTGAGTCTCACAGTGCACAACCTACCGTCTACAGGAACCCAGTCTAGGAGCGCTGTTTCGGCTCTCTCTCTCTCTCTGAGAGCCACGCCAACGCCAGCAACACGGAAGCCTTTGCTTGTGGTTAATTCTTATCCCGGATCATGGAATAGTTTGAGCTCCGAGACGATCATGTGTACTAGAATTCATCTAAATACTCATGAAATGATTACATGTTTTGTGTTCTTTTTATCTCAAAAAGCATGTCCTATATCGAATACACACACTGTTTGCACTGCTGTTGTCAGCGGTCTCTTTTGAATACGCGATACTTGAACGTTTGGCCCATACAGTTTCCAACACAACTTACCTAACGAGTCAACAACAGAACAAGTCAAGAGAGATATAAACCCAGCGATAACTCCTTTTTAAAACGTTGTGTTTCCACTATATATGTCCAAGTCCCTCATCGGTACTATTCTCTTGTGAATCTACCCCTTTGGGGTTATACAGCTTTGTGTTTGTTACGTGCAGTAGAATTTCTTTTGTTGTTTGGTGGTCCAACTGCAAGACCAGCTCCGCGTACGTATCCACTCGCGCGCACATGCATATGTTGTTCGTTCTACCAGAATCCAATTCAAACTTTGCAAGCGTGTTTAGGATGCTGGCGATCAGGTGATTGTTTCGAGGGAATTTTGCTGTTTAAGGTGTAATCACCTTCGATAAGCACACCACACCATGTCCCCATCTAGGTCTAAATATGTGCCGATGCAATATTGAGTAAGTTTCTGTCTGTCAGTCTGTTTGCACCCTCCGGATGCACTCAAAGTTTTTTGTGGGTAAGGTAGAAATCTGAAACTTGTAAATCCCATGGGATCGTCATACACTGTGCTCGGATGATATTACAATTAAGACTATCAGTATCCACGTTCACAGTTAGTTTTTCAGTCTCATCCAGTCGTAACTCAAACAAATCGATGGTTGAGGCGCAAAAAACTGGTTGGAAAAGCGTTTCAGATTGTGCATATTCTGATACCGAAATAGTAACGTTGACAATCCCCCAGGTCCTTTTATTATCACACCTTAGCCATGAATTCCAAACCTGGACGACGTGACCATTGTGTCGTTGAATGTATGCTGATAGAAAATAAGGAAATAGGTCTGCTTTACACCGTCCAGAACATGTTTCAGTAATCCAACTAAATTCATTTTCCTTGAGGACTTTTATGCGCAATGTGTGGAACATCGCCATCGTTTCCGAAGAGTAACTGTCCCATTCTTGTTTGTAGCATGTGGTATTGACTTATTTCCAAAGGCGTGCCTAACTAATCCCTGTAATATAGTGAGGTATTCTGACATTTTGCATCGTTGGGGAGCTTGTGCAGTAAAATTTGGTAATTCACTCTATAAGAAGCGTTGATGAAGCCCAAATAGATTAGATTCACTGTTTCCTGCGTTTTGGTGGTACATGTTTTCTATTATACAGGCCTGATATTGAGTTGGCAACAGAACGTTATGCTTCTCAGAACATTCCACGAAGGAATTAGCATTTCGTGATTCGATACCATGCTTGCTCATCGGTGATGAAATCAGCGTCATTTATCCCATCTACAATGGTGGTAGTCGACGTGATTCTTAGAACTACCCTCCATTTACACTTCCGTTACATCGGAAGTCATTGACTATTCAGCTGTATACTCCAGCAGTCCAACTGACCTTCATTCGTCCGTTAACACGATGATGCGTTAGAGTTATATGCTTTGACAGTGTGTACGTAGTGTGACAAAGAGGCAGAAAACTGGGATCAAAAGATCGAACAGTAGGCATTGGGTCAGAATATCGAGCTGCGATCCATACGAACATGTACAGTTTTCTTTTAGTTTTTTGTTTTTGTCAGGGACCTTTGAAAGATGGGAACCAAAACTGAGGCAAAATCATGGTTGTGCGATTCTGATCCTCAATTGATATCAGGCCTATTCAACAGATTCCCATGAGGGTTGTCTGAGCATACACCGATTCCATAAGCTAGGTCCAGCTTGTGTGCCAACACTACTCCGTCAATTGATTTCTTATGTATTGACTCTTGTTTAATACCTGTATCCAATCTGAAGATATGAGGTATTAGTCGACAATAGACCAAGACTTTGGGCACAAAAGCAAGATTGTGATGGGACCGCGTTTCATATTGATTAGGTTACCGCGAGACTTCGTCAAACTCATGTTATACTGTACTCGTTGTATTACGTTATGGAGAACGATTGATCTCATCGTGATTTGAATCGCTCGACCGCTACCAGCTGACTGATGAAATAAGCCACACATTAAAATGAAGGATTCACTAGATACCTCAAAGTTGTATAACTTTCTTACTGAACCACATATCCTGTCCTTTAACTGGTTTCCATTGAATGTTGGTCAGTTTGTGGGCCTGGTCACACACCTGCACATACACGTGATTGTTTTATCTACTTCTCTATTGTGATTGTCGATATCGTATGAAGTGTGAGTTTTTCCATCTGGTTTGCTGTCTATCGTGACATGTGATTGTTCGTGTGTATTTCTGTTGGGGACAATGAGGTTGAGTGATAATTTGTCGCAACTATGGAAGGTTAACCAGATGAATAATAATCCGGCCTACTTTGGCTTCGTACCGTCACTGAACGTGGCTCAA